ATAGAATAAACCTTTAATATTATTGTACAGAGCACAATGAAATTACAGTTCAGAACACCCATTCACAAGAAGACAAAAAACATGAACAAACATAGGAGAACAGGTGCCCCCAGGTCATGCAGCCATAGACCCCTGCACAAAGCCAGGATCAACATCATGAATGACATCACGAGGAGGCGTTACCCTTAAAAGAAAAACAAAATACCACATTAGGATAGATGAGGGAAAAAGCAAAAACCATCACATTATGTCAAAGAACATGTGACACAAAAAATTCAGGTGGATCACGGTGATCAGCTGTGAGCCTCTGACGCAATCCAACATGGCGGAAATGTGCGCGACAACAGCCAATCAGAATCCACCTTCTCCTGCTCCACTTCTGTTTATAAGTTGCTAATGAAACACAGACGGAATCACAGAATTAACCAAAGTAATCCAGAAAAAAAACGCTGAATCTCAGAGTTCACTTATTTGGGCGAGTTTCTGAGGTATTTTGGCCGCTGTCGCTTCCTGTACCTGCTGTTACCTGGTAACAGGCACACAGGGTGAGCTCTGAGCTCCCCTCCCGACACAGAGAGAGGGCAAGGGGGAAAAAAGAAAAGAGAGCCGCAATGCATGTCTCACTAAAACAAAAGCGTCCTCCAAAAATTTGAAGTAGTCTTAGGGTAACGTTTAGGACAGAACAATGTCCCAGCGGTTCTTCATTTATCTGGAGAAGAACTTTTCTGTAACGCCATGCGTGCACGTGCAGAAGCAGTGATCAAACTGGGGTTCCACAGGAGCTTTCCAGAGGGAGCTGGCAGACCGATCGGGACTGTGCCAGTCCAGTCCACCCAAAGCTAGGAATGCGTGATATAAACAATATATGGTAGAAACTATATAAATTTGTCCTATGATAGAGATCTGTAGTCTACCGTCCAACAGCACAATTCTTTTTGATGACATAACCGGCTCGAGTCAAAACAGAGGAAGCGGGAAGCAGCGTGGCTGACAGCGCACATGAAGAGGGGGAAAAAAACATATCTTATCCGGACCTGGTTCGGGTGTGCGAAAATGAACGCCAAACTGTTTACATATTTACGTGACGGCGCGTCCTCCGGTCGGGAGGAGCGTGTGCCGCGTCACACGGTGACGCAGCGAGGCGACTGTCAGTGCAGGTGAAGTCAGCGCTCCAGACGCACAAAAGCTCGTTGAGTCTGGACCTCGTTTCTCCTGCAGTCATAGCGCAATATTGTCTCTTTGTACAGCGGTGAAGCACTAACAAACACAAACTGTCTTCCCAAAAAAAAAAAAAGTAAAGCATAAATGGGATGATTGTCACCCCGCAGGAGCGCGCACAGAATAAACGCGTGGAGTGCAGATATAGTAATCTGCAAAGTGTGTAGAACGGAATAAATACAAGCAATTTGTTTTACC